CTTTCACAAGCTGAATACTTTCAGAAAGTCTTGGAAAGATTCAGATGCAAGATGCAAGCCAGCAAGTGTATCATTAGAACAAGGAGGAGCGTGCTCAAATGCAGAATATCCCAATACGCCTCGGCAATTGGTAGTATTATGTACGCTATGGTGTGCACGAGTGACAAATACCTTTAGAACGGTTTCTTAACGGTTTCGTATACATATTTTTCATAAGAACCAAAAACCAAACCTTCAATAAAAATAGGAACCGAACCGTTAATAAATACTCCGTAACTAATAAATGTTGGAACCGAACCATGTCATTACAGTTCGGATTGCCGGTTCTTGATTCCAAAGTTCCTCCCATAATATATAAACACTATCTTCCGTTCTTTTTAGTTGCAACATTCTCTTTTTCACGTTTGCCATAACATAATTTTGACCGTCATTATATTTAATTATGTATTAGTAAAAAAATAAAAATCAAATTATGAAACTTAGTAATGAGGCGAATAGTGTATAAATTGCAATGGAAAAATACTCGGTACATTATATGCAATTGTAACAATACTCAATACAATAGAGAAGCCACAAACATGCATCTCGGACTACTTGATTATATAGCATAATTATGTCCTCATTGAGATCTAAAAATATCTCATTTTGTGTAAGAAAAATATGTTTATGTAACTTAGATTTCACTTAGTTTTTTTTTTCAATTTTAATTTATATTGGACCAAATCAAATTAAATCAAATCATACTTAACATGCTCAAATAGACTAGCCAATATGAGACACAAAGAAATCATACGAGACTTATAAAATAGTAAACACTCATAATATAACACCATAAATTGAACATTTAGATTATTATATTAGGCTTAAATAAATCAACTCTGACTTGAACCAACTCCAAATTAGAGTTCATCACAAGTGCACTTAATCAATCTTCTATCATTGGAAGTTGTTCTATTTGTCATACTCTTATTACTAATTCCCCGTCCCATTTAAAGGTTCACGTCCAGTATTCACATGATCAATTTAAATCATTCTTAATCTTTTACTTTATATATCAAATTTTTATCAAACTTACATTTTTTATCAGGCTGTTTAGCAATTTTATTTAATGTAGTTTCTGAATATGTAAATTTTATTTACTAAAAATAATCAGAGTGTGAACATGAATTAAGTTGTTTTATCGTCAGTCAAATTTCGTAAACCGCAACGGCTTCTGCTTTAAAAAAATGTTTTTTTAATGAAATGGGGAGAATTTATTAAATAAAAGTTGATAGTGTTTGAGAAAAAAGTGATTTTAAAAAGTAAAAGTTGGTAGTGTTTGGTAAAATAAGTGCTTTTTGTATAATAGAAATAGTAAAATCACTTTTGACAAGAAAGTCGAGAAAAACAAAAGTTGATAGTGTTTAGTAAAATAAGTGCTTTTGTAAACCAAAAGTTGAGAAGTGATTTTTTTAAACCATTTGCAAACCAACCCTTATTTGTATTCAAATGGAAACTATACAAATTTAGTTCAAAAGATTCAGATCAGAAAAGTTGATTGTATGGGACTCACGAAAATCACACCATAAACATCCGCTTTGCAACGACCTGCCCTAACCGAGCACAACCGTTTGCTATAGGTACCTCATACCTACCCCATTTTTTACCCCATATAAAAACTCTCCCCCATTTTCCTTATCCCCTTCCACCCTCCCCCACTTTTTCCCTCCCCTCCATCCCTCTCTCCTGCACCCCACCTCTCTTCCTCCCTCTCCTCTTTTTCACGCAGCCCCTCCCTTCCCCTTTCTTCTCCATTTCAATATTTTTCTCCTTATTTAGACTTCCAATTTTTACCATCTTTCCCCCATCCAACCTTGGATCTTCTCCTGCTTATCTCCTCTCCACCGGTGACGTTGCCGACGGCAAATCAAGAAGCTTTGAATAACTTGAGTAGCAAATCTTCTTTTCTTGATTTTGTTTTCTTGATTTTTGTGGTATTTTCGAAATAAAGAATGTTGTCTGTCTAACAGACAACTTGTAAGTGCAGTGTCTGTAAGAGTCGTGAAGTTGTCTGTCATTTGAAAAATAATGTCTGTAATTGATATTTAATTATTTGTCATTTGTTTATTAGTTGTTTGTATTTGTATTTGTCTGTAAGAATCGTGAAGTTGTCTGTAACTGATATTTAGTTGTTTGTCATTTCATTTTGAGTTGTATGAAATTTGTGGTGAAAAATAATGTCTGTCTAGTTATCTATATTGTCTGTCTAGTAATACGTATTGTCTGTCTTTTTTATGAAACATATGCCAATATGGTAACTCACAATAAAGTAATGTTTGTATGTGTATATTTAATGTCTGTCTCGTTGGACTAATTGCATCTCAATCAAATAAAGTAATTACATATAGCTCATAATCAAATGCAGACAAATCAAAACAAACACAGGCAACTCAAAAACAAATACAGACAACTCAAAACAAATGACAAACAATTAACCATCAATTACAGACAGACAACTTCACGACTCTTACAGACTTCTCACAACAACATGACAAACAACTCAAAAAATACAGACAACTTACAAGCAAATGACAGACAATTAAATATCAATTATAGACATTTATTTTTCACAAGACAGACAACTTCACGAGTCTTACTAACAAATACAGACACTGCACTTACAAGTTGTCTGTCTGACAGACATCCCTTTTTATTTTGAAAGCACACCCAAAAAAACAAGAAAACAAAATCAAGAACAAAAAATCAAGAAAATAAGATCTGCTCTCAAGTCATTTAAAACTTCTTGGTCTACACCTTCGTCGTTCCTTCTTGTTCACCTAGCTCTCCCCATTCATCCGATTACTGTAGCTCCGCCATTTGAAACGGAAAAAAAGGCGGAAGAGGAGAGAAGTAGGAGAAGAAGGTTGGAGGAGGAAAAGATGGTAAAAATGAGAAACATTAAAGAAAGGGATATATCTTGAAATGGAGAAAAGTAAAAGAGAAAAGGGAGGGGAAGTGCTGTGTGAAAAGAACGAAGAACCGGGAGAGAGGGGGGGGGGGGGGGGGGAAGAAAAGTGGGGGAGGGAGGAGGTAGACCTGTCAATGGGTCGGGTCCGGGTCGGAACATAGTGTTTCAGACCCGGACCCGCTAAGTAAATAAAGGACCCGGACCCGACCCGTTTACCCGGCGGGTCTAAAAATTTGGACCCGGACCCGGACCCAACGGGTCTCGGAACCGGGTCGGGTAGACCCGCCAAGTATCATATGCACAACATTATATAACTTTTTTTTGACAGAACATTATATAATTTTTTAAAAATAGTAAAACATGTATATGAAATGTAAATCAAAGTGCACAAATTTAAAAGCAAAATATATCTTCACTTTTAAAAAAGAATCAAGGTTTATCATAGAAAATTAGTACTTTTATTCAATAAAATATCGGTTCTTGTAGATGTGTACAATTCCGCACTTTGTGTCTCTTTCTCTCCCACAGAAAGCTCGTATATTAGACTAGAAATTAGGTCAAAAAAAGTTCTTTTTGACTAAAAGCATATTAAATACTACGTACTATTATACTATCACGTATACATTAGGTATGTATTAATTTGTTTCTTTGTAATCAAAGAATTAAAACTAATCACTTTATATATATTAGTTTGTATTTTTATTTGAAGTATTATAACTAATCTCTTTATGTATTAGTGTGTGTGTATAAATACTAATAAGAAATTTTAAACGGGTCCGGATCCTTAACGGGTTGGAATCATAAGTACCATACCCGACCCGTTTATTAAAAGTACTAACGGGTCTGGGTTCGGGTCCGGGTAAACGGAATAAAATAAGGACCCATACCCGTTAAAAACAACCGGGTCCGGGTCGGGTCCGGGTCTAGACCCGACCCATTGACAGGCCTAGGAGGAGGGAGGGGAGGAGAAAAGTGGGGGAGAGTATTTATATGGGATAAAGATGAGGTAAGTTTTGAGGTACCTATAGCAATTTTCTTCGTGCTAATTGAAGACTTGGGTCATAATTTTCTTGAAGTAGTTTGTCACTTAGATAAAGGATATACTTTATGACCCGAAGTTGCACATTATCCCTTTCCCGTAATAAATCGGGATTAAAGAGTGTTGTCAAACTCTATGTTGCACGGATACGGATACGCCGATACGCGGATACGTGAATACGGGTACGGCGATACGGCAATTTCAAAAATTATAGGATACGGGTACGGGGTATATTTATAAATAATAAAAATATAGGGTTTAATTTGCAAATATATATAATTCAGGGATTCATAAATAAAATAACTACAGTACAAAAAATTAACTATTATAATAAAATTTCAAAGATTACGCTGGAAAATCTAAAGTACTGATATTTCTTTATAAATTCAAATAATATTTTTTGTTCACTATTTGCATTCACATCTAAGTTTCGTTTCAATTAAACTTCATCAAGCGATAAAATGACAAATAAATTATAGTATTCCATTATTTTTCATACTCCCGAAATCATCTTTATCAATGTTCTGCATCTTGTGGTCGCTTGGGCGGCTACTAAGTTTTCGTCATGTCGTTTACGAAATTTGGGTTATAGGAGTGGATACGCGTATCGGATCACGGATACGGGTGTCGGTTTACGGATACGGGTATCGGAAGTATCGGGATTTTAAAAATTAATCCCGATACTTTTATTAAATTACGGATACGGACCCAATACGTACAGGACGCGTATCGGTGAGTATCGGTATCGGATACGTATCGGATACGCGGATACGGCATCGGGGTGAAGTATTGGTGCACCGTAGGACTCAAACTTATACCGTCTATGAAACACTCAAACACATATGTCATACGACATCGTTTCACTATCTCCCGGTGCTGCTAAGTGCTAATCTGCTATTCTCTACTCGCCCTTGACTTTCTGGCTTAATTGTCGGTCCAACCATGGTCTCGTTGGAAATAATGTACAAAATCAAGGGCATTATCGGAAGTGCAGATTTTAATCTGGTGGCCGTGGGGAAAGCCATCTTACGACCGTGTATAAATTTGTTTCCGTTATCCTCTGTTTGTTTCTGTGCTCTTCATCGCTCTCGATTTTTCTCCATTAGACATTTAACGAGCTTTAATTCCGTCCGCTAAGAATAGGGTTTCTCGTCGTTTCACCGAATCTCGAATCTCACGTTGCAGCCATGATTTCCGATTCAATCCCCAAAGCTTCGATCCCCATGTGTTCTGCTAACCCTAAGGATTTAGCAAAGAAAAAGAGGGTACTTTCATTTCATGTTTTCCGTTATTAATTTCTTGCTAAATTTTAAATTGTATTGCTTAAATGTTTGGCTATATGCTTTTCTTGGTATGATCGGATCATCTTTAGTTCTAATTTCATTTATTGATTTCAATTTAGGCTCATCGTTCGGCGAAGTTGAAGCAGTACAAGCTCGATGCCCGGCGCGAACAGTGGCTTTCACAAGGTTTGTCGAAGATCTCTCTTTCCCCTCTCTATTAGAATTTGAATTTCAGTTGTCTTGTTTTTATCACTTCAATCGATGTTATTGCATTTTGTTTTCGTTGTATTGGGGTTTTGTGATTTTGGCTTTTTATAGTGAAGAATAAGGGACAAAAGGAGGAGCTGAATTGTCAAGGTGGGACTTGTGGTGGTGTGAAAGAAGATGTGAATAAAATGGCTAGATCTATAGACAAGTTAAAGATAAATCCTCAGACTGTGGAAGAAGATAATGAAGGCTCCTTTAACAATTACAGTGATTTGGACTCTCCTGCGAACAGCCCAACCAACCAATCAAGTAGCGACTTGGGTGGAAACTATTCCAGTACAAACTTCAGTGGTAGCAGCAGCGGCAGTAGCAGCAGCAGCCAATGTTGGTCGGGCAATATGAGCGAAGAAGAAGATGAAGAACATGATGGTTGTCTAGATGATTGGGAGGCCATAGCAGATGCTTTGGCGGTCACTGATAAGAAGAAGCATGGAGATGAGCACAGTCCTTGTTTGGGCACGCATGGAAATGCTGTTCAATCAGGTTCAGACCAGCCAGTTTTGTCCGGTGTAGATAAATCGAAGGCAAAAGGTAGAGCCTGGAGGCCTGATGATGCGTTTCGTCCTCAGAGTCTGCCCAATCTGTCCAAACAGTATAGTTTCCCCACGAATACAGAGCGGCTTTACCATTGCGGAGGGTCTGTTTGGGGTAACTTAGCGTCCGCACCGACTTCTTGTCCTATATGCTGTGAAGATTTGGATCTCACGGACACGAGTTTTCTCCCCTGTACTTGTGGGTTTAGGCTGTGTCTCTTCTGCCACAAGAGGATTCTTGAGGAGGATGGGCGGTGTCCTGGTTGCAGGAAGCAGTATGATGAAAACAACAGCAGCAGCCTATCATCATGTCGGTTGGCTCGTTCTTGTAGTATGATCTCAAGGTCCTAAGCAAGGAAGAATCGCAATGCGTGTTAGTTCCTTATTTTTCCCTTTTTACATAATTGTGTGGGTGTTCTTACTCTCTTCGACTCTTTCAAAGTAGATCACTAGGACATTATAAAAGGAAGAATGATCATTCTGTGGAGTTGTTCTGATTCCCTTATGATGATGATGTGTATGGTGCATGCAGGGTATTATAGAAAGAACGTTGCTTATGGGAGTAGGGTATGTTGGTGGTATAGAGAAAATTCAATGTGAAATTTGTTGACTGTAATAAAGAACTTTGTTAGTTTGATGATGTTACATTCTCCCTATTAATAATTGCAGAAAATTATCAATAATGAATGCTTATACATAAATAACTTCATTATGGTCCTGTACTCCTGTTTAGTAATCAGTACCCTAATGTTCTCATCTTGTTGGATGTTCTCACCACAAAGCCATGCATTTGGGACCTGGGGGTGTAGGGGTAGTTATTTGACAAGGACCTTGTTGCTTTTAGTGTTTCTCATAATGTTTTATGTAGCATGTTTTTCTATCAAAATCTAGAGTATGCTTCTTCTAGGATGTTCATGGTTCTAGGAACAGTTAACCTGATATGTTCAAGTCTAGTCTAGTTTGTTTAGGCCTAATATAGTATTATGTGTATCATTTAATATTGTTTAAGCCGAGTGAACTGGTCTGTAGCAAGGTTTTGAGTTTTGACCGCTCTCTGGGGCTCTGGGCATGGGGTGTTGGATGTTTGACACTTAAGTGAGGTGATGTTAAGAGGTCACTTTTGGATGCCGTGGAGGTGGTTGTTTCCTTAATATTGTGGAAAGTAGGGATAATTTAGGCTTCATTACTCATTAGTGGTTAGCCTTTTGTATAATTTCCTCATGATATACTGATATTCTTTAATATTTTTACTACCCAGGAACTTAACGTGTCTACTAAATGTTGTATATCCATTTCTTCAGTCCTGTGTAAATCACTTATTGGTAAATTTTTAAATGTACTATTGATATTCTTTAATATTTTTACTACCTAGGAATTTAACGTGTCTAGTAAATGCTGTATATCCATTTCTTCAGTTCTGTATAAGTCACTTATTGGTAAATTGTTAATGTACTATTTTTGGTTTGAGAATATGATGGAAAAAGCAAAATGATTCATTAAATTGTCTAAGCTTCTTTGTTATGAAGCAACAGTCAATCCGTGCAATTTTCGACGCTATTATCATCATGGATCATCACACCATCTGGAAACATTCTCTTCGAGCTTTAGTATAGGGTAAAGTTATATAATCCGACCCATTATTGTAGGTGGGAGCTTTCGTGTCACTGGACTAATGTTGTATTGGTAAATTGTTAATTATGAATCTCTCTTGCAGAATTATCGCACGCGGTAGGGTGCTTGCGTGCTTGCGATTGTTTTATGTGCTTTACCAGTCTTGGGGTCTGTAGAGTTTAGACCATAGGGAAAACAATCTTTTCTTTTTTCTCCCTAATTTTTTACTTTGCTTGCTTTCAATTTGTTATTGAATGTTCAAACCAAAAACTCAGCCAATCGCTCACTCTCTCACACAAAAGGCTACCAATTTCTTAGAATACCGTAGGACTGAGCATTTGATTCAAATACAATGTTTTGTATGTCACTTGACTCGCTTTATGTTAACGTAACGTGCATTACGTATATGGAATCCGTTACTTTAAGAAAAGTTTTGTATTTAAGATTACACTTTTTTTGTATTTATTTTCGTGCGGCTAGCTGCTCCCTCTCTCAGCAGATCAACTTTTCTCTTTCAAATATGCACTTTTTCTTTGAGTGTTATGCCGTTGGTCCGTTGCTAACCAAACATAGTAATGGGATATTGATTTCATTCCATTACATTGCAATTTTTATTGTATTACATACTTTATTCCATTGCATTGCATTACACCATACCAAACATAGTCTAAATACCTTTCATAAAAAACATAGCCTAAATACATTTTTTAATACATGAAGAAACTCATATAGTAGTACCTCTGCCCCTTAAGTTTGGGATAGGGGTGGACTCGGGCCGAGCCGACCCGGAACCGGCCCGACCCGATTACTGTTTGGCCCGGACCGGCCCGGGGCCCGGTTGGTCCATCGGTTCGGTTTGGCCCGGCCCGGGTGATGGGCGGTCCGGGCTCGGGCCCTGCTTTAGGTGAACCGGTCCGGGCCCGGTCCGGGCCCGGTCCGGGCCGGATTTTAATTTCTTTTTTTTTTTGAATTTTTTTTAAGTTTTGGGTTGGATTAGGTATTTTGGGCCAATTGAGGTTGTTTGGGGTGGTTTGGGGTTGAGGGGGGGGGGGGGGTAGGGGGTTAAATAGGAGAACCCCCCCCCCCCCCCCCCCCCACACACAAAAAAAAGGACCGGTTTGGCCCGACCCGGTTTGGCCCGGAACCGGAACCAGCCACCGGCGGTTCGGGCTCGGGCCCCAGTTTTCTGGCCTGAGGCCCGGCCGGGCCCAGGCCTGAACCGGGCCCGAACCGGCCCGGGTTCACCCTTGGTTTGGGACAAGAGAAGGTGACGCGGTTATTAATAAAAGTGGATTCATGTGGTTGATATTGATTTGATAAAGTAAGAATAAAGTAGAAATAATTTAGAACCACACAAAATTTACCAAATAAGGTATGAGACAATGTTAGTGGGACAGACCGAAATGGTAAAATGAGACAATCATAGCGGGACGGAGGGAGTACCACGTACATCAATATCATGGTGAAACTTGGTGTAGCGTCCTTCTAACGCCTACAAGGCTACAAGTGGTACAACATTTCAACGGAACAAGTACAGGCTTAAAAGGCATGTCGCAAAGCAATTCGGTTTGTCTTAACATTGTTTTAGCCAAGTAGTGAGATTATTTCCTATTTAGAGCTGATTTAGGCAATCGTTATTTCTTGTTTATGAGTTAAATTTCTTCGAAGATGCATTTCTTCAGTTTATTTAGATATTTATTTATTTATTTAAAAGCTTTTAAGCAGCATATTTAATTAAATCATCCATTTACTCTTCACCCATTTCAGCCATCATTTGTGACTTTGTTAATGTGTACACTTCATTTTACTGTAAATGCATTTTTTTACATCATTACTTCACAAATTTTAGCTTGGTGGAGCCCGGGTAGTGGCACGCACTAATTTTTCTGAAAATGAGATGCAAAATCTAGTATTGCCTAAACGTAGATTGCAAATCCTACACATTATGTTGCATTTGGAATCAAGAAAATGTGAAAGTAAAACATAATATGGAGAATAAAAAATGAATTCGAAATCATAAAATAGGTGTTACACATAAATTCTAGCTCGTTTATCTATTGTTTTAATAGTAGTAAGGAGTACTATAAAAATAAAAGGTCCAAAGATCGGTAAATTTTAAAATGCTTCAATTATTCTTAATTTTTATTCATGCTTTCAAAACATTAACAATAGAAAGTAAGATAACTTTTCCATAAAACTTTTCAATATTTGAGAAAAAAAGTTTTAAAACTAATTCAAAAGAGATTTAATCTCCCATTCCATTCCAAACGCTCCGCACTCCGACCCAATAGTGATGGAGGAAAAGATACTTAAACAGATCAGATCAGACAAGACTAGATCAGTGCATGCTTATGTAGATCATACCGGACTTTCACAGTTATAAAATAGACAGAATCTTTTGTCTTGGAAAATTAATCGTAAACTGATTCAGTGATTCAAATATACAAAGGTCACATGTTGGTTGAAAAATGTGAATTAGGTAAAGTTGCTTAGATATGTGTTATTAACCATTTTAAGAGTACTGATTTTGTTAAAGTTTCATATGATTATCACTAAATAGCTGGGGGCGGGGGATGTTTTAGTAGGTAAATGAACACCTCACGTGGTGAAAGAATCGCCGTATGCACCGGAAGATAGATTACTACGAGCCATACTTGGTATTCAAAGTATACACCCATTTTTAATTGTTTTGTAAATTTTTAAGATTATTTTTCAAAAAAGAAAATTACTCTTATACAGTTTTAGAGTATGCATATATAACTAAATAGGAAAATATCATATTGTAGATGTGCCTAATCTATAACTGCATTATCCCCTCACACACAAAAACCAGATCAAACCAGAACAATAAATGACAGTCCAAAAGAAAATATCCTAATTCGAGTATACAAGAGCACATGTGATTAGGATCTTACTACGAAATAACATACACTCCGTATCATTGTTCTAAAACTCACTAGGCGCTAGTCGGGCGTTTGAGGGGCGCCTAGCGCCTAGGCGGCCGACTAGGCCAACTTTTTGGCCGACTAGGCCAATTTTTTGACCGACTAGACCTCTACAGTTAGGGCCAACTAGGCCGCCTAGGCCGATTAATCGGTCCGCCTAGGCCAATTTTTAGAACATTGCTCCGTATATACTAACTCGGTCTCACTCATCTTTGTCAAGTTCATTTTAATCGAAATTATAATAGTAAAAGCTGTTAATTGAAATTTGTGTAGATGAGAGAGAAATGAACACAATCGCAAGCTCATTGTTTAAAAAAAATGACAAAGTTATTTAAGATAAAAAGAAAAGTTAACAAAGTTCAATGGATTGAACCCTAAACTTCTTCGGCACCGCAATCTACCTCCGCTCCAGTCTTGGTCGATACTTGCCATTTCGTATCCATGGCCTCGTCGTCATTAGCAAAGGTCCCATTCTGTTCTCCAGTAGGGATATAATCGGCGGTCATTGTCTAGGTATATCCCAGGTCGTGTTCCGACGACTATTTTGACTTGGTCTGACGGAGTTTTCTTCTAGTTTTTTGTTGGATTAATTCAGTGTTCGGTTTGGATTGGTCGGCAGAGGTTTCCTACCAACTTTTGGTTTGAATTGATCTGGCAGAAGTGCGTTTTGTTTCATTTGGCATTGACATGAATGTGCTGGATTAGAATTGCAGAGGTATTGGCAATCTAGCCACGGCTCAGGGGTTGACAGATTTGGTTCTGGCCCACGGCCCGGGTGATGAACAGATGGTGAGCGATGAAGGGCTCAGGAAGGGAGAATACAGATCAACGGTCCGTCCCCCTCCTGAACCGCCGCCTTGGATCGATCGAGATGCCAGAGTTTGGAAGATGATATTTCAAGAAACCATCCAGGATGGAGTTTGAAGTATTTGTCAGTTATTTTATTTTTATGGTCTTATTTTCGTGTTATGTTTGTTTACGGTGTCGTTTTTTGTTGATGATTTTAGTTTTAGGTCTACAATAATGATTGTCAATTCTGCTAGATATTATGTCGTTAAAAGGATCTATATGACTAGTGATCGCTGTGTCGCACCCGTTTGGTGGTTAGCGATTCATATTGCTCCTTCATGGATGATCGTCTCAGAGTAAGCCGTATGGTTGATTATTCTAGTTGGTTAGGGATAATTGATGTCAGGTTTGATATATTGGAGTTTGTTGTAATGATCCGATTCCTAATAATCAATATATATATATATATATATATATATATATATATATATAAGAGGAACTTTTTAAGAGCATACAAAGCGCCACATCATCCTGCCATGTCATTATATATATATATATATATATATATATATATATATATATATATATATATATATATATATATATATATATTAATTATTTAGTTAATTTGTACCTTCTATTTTTATTAGCTAGATTCTATTTTTGATTGCATATTGATATGGAAACAAAAATCCGTAGAAAGTACTATATTAAACAGACTCTATTTTAGGCTAAGTTTATATATGACAGGTATTCTTAACCAAAAATATAATACGTTTTAATTTCTATAACAATTAAATGTTATAGTATACGTTTAGGCTTAGAATTATGTGTTAGAATTATACATTTTAATTCCATTATAACAATTAAATGTTATAGTATACGTTTATACGTTTAGGCTTACAATTTAAAAAAACAGGCTCTATATTTAGACTATTTTACTTAATATATACTCCGTATTAAATTTCTATGAATATCCATCTTCATAAGATTATATTAAACGTTTAAAATCGGGTTCATAGCAATTATATTTACTCGAGATGCTTATGTAGAAGATTAATTTAACTATTTTTCATATAATCTTTTTTCTGGCTTCACAAATGGAATATATTTTACATATTTTTCATGATTCCACTCATTTAGCTCATTCAGTCATAATTTAATCAATTTGAGTAAAATAAGTTAATTCAATTTATTTTAGTATTATCAAACAGACTCTATATTAGACTAAGTTTATTTTTCTTTTAAATCACATTACATATGATCCGAAAGAAATCAAATTTCAAATTAGCTAAATTACATTTGCCCGTGCATCGCACGACAGGGCCGGTCCCGAGAAAACACGGGCCTTGTGCAAAAATAAAATGTGGGCCTTTTCTAAAAGAGGTAAAAATATAATATAACTAAATTTTATATTTGTAACAATTTGCTACAATAATAATTTAGATCAAAATATAAGTTATTCACTAACATAATAGTTAAAATAAAAGTATTCCTTAACAAAGTACACTTCATTTATTTGTTAAAGCGAATTGTAAAATAATAGACTAATAACCTAATACTTGAACTTGGTGATTCGCCAAGTTCAATTATTACAAAACCATCCAAAAATAATTACCTACGTACTAAAGCATTCAAACTTGGAATCAAAACCGAAAAAAGAACAATATAAATTACAAAATATAAGAAATAAGATTATTACTCCGCATTCTATAAAACCAAAGAGAATAATCAAATCTAAAATTAGACCGTTTATCATTCCATTAATTGGAGAAAAGGGCATATCACATGGGTGTGTGGGGCTGAATCTTGGGGAAGAGCTTCAAGCTTCGAATTGGAAACACGCAAATACACTATGTTGTTAAAACCAGATATTGAGACAATTCAACTCGGACAAGCAATCAATACCGGACTCGGAAGGATCAGTCCGATGTCAATCCAGTCAATGTGTATCGAAAAAAGAAGATATTAAAAAATAACTCTCATTCAAAAATTTATCAATGGTTATAAGAATAAATTAAAAATTAATGTATCAGTTTATAAAATAGTCATAAATTTAAGATGTGTTTGTAATTAATGGATAATTTATAAATAAAATTGATAAACGTAATGAGCATTTCATAAATATCATTTAGTTACTATTAATGAGCATTTCATAGTTAATGAGCATTTTTATAAATTAATATATACGGAGTAGTTACTATTAAAATTACAAATTAATATCAATTAGTAAAGTTAATATTAATCATTGTATGATATAAAAACGAAAACTGAATGAAGGTTAACAACTACCAATCGATTGAGATGGCATACGGTCTGCATATGTTAGAGAGTAGACAGGGTTCGAATCCCCCTGGCTTCATTACTTTTAATGTAGCATGGGAATAACTATTGGGCTTTGAGTAGGTTATAATAGTAGTAGGACTATTAAAAATTGGGCCTTTTGGATTTATGGGCCCTGTGCGGTCGCACCTGCGGCACTTGCCTTGGGCCGGCCCTGTCGCACGAGCTTGAAAGCTAGTTTTTAATATAAAAGTTGAAATTGGCGATGAAAAAACAAAGTTCAATGGAACGGGAAAAAAGAAAAAAAAGAAGAGGACAAAAACGTAAATGCAAGTAAAGATGCGCGGCCAAGCGAATGAAGTCTGAAAGTGAGAGAAAAACGGATTCGTATTCCCGCTTCAAGCGATAAACGAATTCGAAACTTTGAAAAATAAAAAAGAAAATCTTCCTCAGCCCGCCATTGCTAACCAACGAACCCTTCTGCCCTTCTTCTTAACGGCCCCGCCGCCCTCTCTCCGCCGCATCTTTCACCCCTTTCTTCATTTCCATTTCCAAACTTTTATTACACAAGCGTAATTTCAACTCAGAGGAATAGGACTCCATCCCGAGATGGCCTTAAGGGAATCTGGGCCGGCTTACTCCCGCAAACAGAAATCTCTCGGTCTACTCTGTTCCAAGTATTTTCTCTTTCTGTCCTTCTGAATGTCGATCAGTTCTGTATGAGTAATGCATTGTTTGTGCTTGAGAGTATCTGATTAACGAGTAATGTGAATTTATGCAGTTTTTTGAGCTTATACAACCGAGAGGGCGTTGAAACTATTGGGCTGGATGATGCGGCAACGCAGCTAGGGGTTGAGAGAAGGCGGATATATGATATTGTGAATGTTTTGGAAAGTGTTGGTGTAAGATCCTTTGATTTGGACAGATCTCATTTTATATCTATGGATTTGGATGAATATTTTGTATTTGTTTACTGGGCTGGTTCAGGTTCTTGCGAGAAAGGCTAAGAATAGATATACATGGAAAGGATTTGTTGTTGTCCCAAGAGCTCTCCAGGAGCTGAAGGTATTGGTGTTATTTCACATTGTTTGTTTGCTGCTTGAAATTAAAGTGTTGATTTCTTTATTTCACTTCAGTTTTTTAATAATTTCAACAATGGAACAGGAAGATGGCCTAAGAGAGAGTTTTTTTGCAGTTGATAGAAATTTCACACCTCAAGTGAGTTCTTCAAGGGCTTGATTATTGGTTATATTATGTGCAAAGCTATTTCCATCACTGAGATGTATGTCACATTTCCTGCTATCAGGTTACAGAGAATAAAGATGATGTCATGCATCAACCTAAAAACTGTCCTAGTCAGGGTGGAATTTCATGCTACCAGGTTACAGACAATGAAGATGATGTTGTGCAACAATCTCAACACTGTGCTACAAGTCAGGGTGAAAAATCAGAACTCACATTGGCTGCCAGGCTTGGTATTTTGAATTTCAGTTGCCCATCAACCCTGGACCAAATTGTTCATTTAGCTTTGCATCTTGTTTCCCTTATGCTATGTATGTGATACCACCTTTGACAGATAATAGAAAGGAGAAATCTTTGGGGCTTCTCACGAAGAATTTCATCAAACTTTTTCTCTGCACTAATGTGAGTTTAACAATTTTAAATTCACAAACCTTTCATTTTCTTCCTTCTCTTAGATCTCAACCCTCATGTTGTGTTTATTGCTCTTTCTTTAGATGGAAACAATTTGTCTGGAGGAGGCTGCAAAGTTATTGCTGGGGGATGGAAGGTCTCCATCAATGACAAAAAGTATTGAAATCTCCTTTTTCACTTCCCCCCAGAAATCTAGACTTCTCTTTCAATGATGGTTGTTGATTAAGATGTCGTTATATCTCACAGTAGCCGTACTTTTTTGCAGACAAAGTTAGAAGACTGTATGACATTGCGAACGTTCTTTCCGCAATGAAATTCATTGAGAAGGTAATTAATCAATAATCCATATAGTTTGGCTTACATATATTAATCATCCATTCTTACGGAGCAAAATGCTCATTTGTGTAACTGTTCCTTGATGAGTAGACTCAACACCCGGAAACAAGAAAGCCTGCTTTTAGATGGCTGGGGTTGAAAGGCGAACCAGAAAATGTATCAGCTCACATGTCAGACCATGATTTGGTTTGTGATTATCATCAATCCAGTAAAAGGGTGTTTGGCGCTGATATCACTAATATTCCTCCCACTAAGAGAAGCAAATCGTTTCTTCTTCCCTCAATGGATAGTAGTGGTGGCGGAGTAACAGAGACAAAGCTGCTATCCCAAATCAAAAGTGAGAATGTGGATTGTGTGGCCAATTTGGATACTGGTTCAAGAACAAGTGCTTATAAGAGCTATCACTTTGGTCCCTTTTCTCCTACTGCAACTATGCCCAAAGTTGAAGATCAGGAAAGTAGCCAAAGATCCAAAATAATTAGTGCCTGTGAAAGTTTAGGATCGACTTATCGCCCAGAATATCAAAACCAAGGTGACACATATACAAACATATTTCAACATTTTCATGAATCTTAGTTCCTCTTTTATAGGTATGGAAGCACTCTGGTAATGGAATTTCTACTTTGTTTGATTTTACACAGATGTAAGAGATCTGTTTTCTCATTACATGGAAGCATGGAGCTCTTGGTATTCTGAAGTTGCCAGGAAGAATCCTATCAATGTGCTATCTTAGTTACATGCTATGATGCCAAGTGCTGACACACCTTGTTGTTTTGGGTGGAACGGAAGAGACAATAACAGTTCCCGTACAAATGATGATGGCCTGATCGGTATTGAATGCATATTGTCATTGTATCAACTTGTTGAGCCCCCTTTACAGATAGAAGATTGCTTTAGAATAATTACTATGTTGAGCCCTATAGACAAAATTTTGTCCGGAAATGTTTATCTTTTATTAATGCTTAAAATAAAAAAAACTCACCCTTACCCCTCCTGAACCAATGTCATAATTATTAGGGTGGACTGTATTTTAACTGTGGGAAATTCCTCAGACTAGAACTAGATCAATTTGAACTATATTGGAATCGGTATGCATAACCGGCTAAACTCGGGCACTGTTCTGACTCCTAAATGAGACCAGACTGCTACAGTTCCTAGTTTATTGATTTTTTGATGGGTACAACAATGGCATTGGAAAGGATTGGGACCAAATATTGATCTTACTCAAAAATTTGTTCTTGTCTTGGGTAGGGTGGGGGATTAGGAAGGGCTGAGGTCCACCCTTATCAATTACTAGTTCAAAATTGTGTTTTCAAAAAATTACTTATTTTTAACATTGATTTTCGTGCGACTTCACTTTTATAAGTTTATCTGTCGTAGACTCGTAGTTTATTTAGCTCCAATTAGGCTTAGTAAAATTGATTAAGCTCAAGATTTATTTTAAAATGTTTCACAGATACATTTAGGCCAATTCATTAGATAGAGGTCAATTGAATTGAACACCTAACATCACTCTTAAGGGTGAAACAATAAGGACTATAAAATCTCCTTTGAAAAAGTGAACATTTCTTGTTTATGGTTGATGCTCGTTATTTCATCATATATGCAACTCACGTAAGCAATTTACTTCCTTCGTTCCATTTTGATTGTCCTATTTTTCTTTTTTGGTTGTCCCAAAATGAATGTCTTGTTTTCTTTTTTGGCAAGAAATATGTGATCTTTATCATTTTATTTTATTCAAATCTCAATCACAACTTTTACTTTTCAACCACTTTATTAATAACTGTGCCAAATTGAAAGTGGACAACCAATATAGGAGGGAGGTAGTATTTGAGAGCAGTAAAGACAAATGAGTGATGTATTAGTTGTGAACTTGCAACGGTCCAGTCCATTTACCGGTCCGTTTCTAGTCTCGGATTGCCGATCATGAGAGTTTAGGTATGTTGCAACGGTCCAGTCCATTTACCGGTCCATGGCCTCGGTTCGGGCCGTCCGGCTCGGGACCGGCCTGGCCCGGTTTTCCGGGTCCGGGTCCGGTCCGGGTCCGGTTCGGGCCGGAGGCCCGGGGGTGGGGCGGTTCCGGGCTCGGTTCATGGGTTTGACGGCCCGGCCCGGCCGGTTTGGGCCCGGGTCTGGGCCAAATCTATTTTTTTTTAATTTTTTTCATTTTTTTTGGGCTGTTGTGCTTGGGCTATCTGTTTAGGCCGGTTTGGGGGGGTTTGGGGGGGGGGTGGGTGGGGGGGGGGGGGGGAAGAAAGGAAAAAAAAAAATAAACCGGGTGGCCCGAACCGGTCCGGTCTGGAACCGGACCTGGGACCGCCCTACCCCGGTTCGGGCTCGGGCCTGCTATTACTGAACCGAGGCCCGGCCGGGCCTAGGCCCGAGGCCCGAATTGGCCCGGTTCAGTCCACCACTATCCCAGCCCCCTAACTAATCCTGATCCAATATAGTTTCTCTTAATTTTTTATGAGTATGTTTTAAATTCTCCTGACCCTCCTGCTCTATTTTAATTTTTAAATAGATTTACACTTGTTTTAAAATATTTCTAATGCTTGAATGCAAAATAAAGTGAGTGAATCGGGATTGGACCAATCAGTCCACTTCAGGTTATGAGTTAGTGGAGTTACGACCTGTCTGAGACTGCTGAACCGGTCAACCACTAAATTTACAGGCTCGGTTTCCGATTTGGTTGAAGTCCATCTGACTTAGATTATCGCAAGAAGCGTTTTGACTTTCAATTGAGGATATTTTAGACATTAAAATTGACGGTCAAATGGAATCAAACGAAAAGATAAATGCGTAGTACTCCTCCATCTCGGATACATCTTTACGTTTACTTTTGAAACGGTATTTTAGGAGATCCATTAATTGAAGAGCAAATATCATTTATGCCCTTTGCCCTTACCGATTATACTTCCACTGTTTATCCCCACCTTCACCTTTCTTGTTTCTGTTGAACCAAGAACCTCCCCATCTTCATCCCTCTGCACAACTAGACTGTACTTCATATCCAAGAGAGTAAGAGTAAAGGAGTGAAGCTGCAATCGACACGCAAATTCCCATTAGGCAAACAAGCTACAAAGGAATGATTCAAATTTTTGGATTCCCTATGAAAATCCAGATTTGATGACTTAAGAAAGGAATCTAACAGCCTTTGTAGAGCTCGATGCCTTCGATTCCCCTGTCCAAGCCTTCAACTCCGAAGAAGGCGTCCTGAACGCTTGCGGCCACGTTCTTGGCGGCGGCAGCACCATTAACGCCTGCTTCTATCTCCAAGCAGATGAAGGCTTTAACTCCGGGCAAGGATAAACTGACACATCTTATGGATGTAGTTGAGAGACACATCATAAATATAATTCTGAAGCAGAATCCTTCAATTCAAACTCTAGTCGTAGCTATGGACCTGGAAATAAGTCCTGAGATAGTGAGTGCATCAATGTTGGCCATAAATGTAAAATATGGATGGGTAGGATTAGGGGTGGGCAAAAATACCGAAAAATCGGTATACCGCACTTACCGTACTGAAAATACCAGAAAATACCGAAATATTGGTATACCGTCATTTTTGGTACGGTATCATACCGTATCGATCTATTTTGGTACGGTAACGGTAAATATTTTCAAATACCGCGGTATACCGGTATAATACCGTACCGACTCCCTACTCAACAATTACTTTTAATTCTAATATATTCTAAAAATTCATTACAATTTTGAAGCCCAAAATTAATACTTAAGTTGGTTACAAATACAAAAAAACACAAATAAAGGCCCAATTTCTCAAACTCATTATAACCTTATAGGCTTCCACTACGCTAATCTTAATGACTAATGAGTAATGTACAAATGTCAAGAAACAAGTCTATCTTGTTCCAAGAGCTTGCAAGTTGTGATGACTGGGCCGCTAAGTAGTTGACGAGTGAAAAGAGATACACTTATATGACAAGTGTATCTACATAGGGATTCTGCGAGTCGAGACACACAACTTTGTCCGAAAGTCTTATTCAATTTTTAAAAAATATAAAAATGACTAAATACACAATATCATATTAGGAATAAATAATTTAATATCCATGTTATTTGAATAGTTTTATTTATTTTTGTTAGAGATCACTATTGATTTAATTATACTTCCTCCGTCCCAGGGAGAAGTTCCCGGGTTGACTTTCACACATATTAAGGAAATAAAGTTACAGAGGGCTAAATTTTACTGTTTGGCATTGTTTCGACACTGTTTGGCACTGTTTCGACACTGTTTGGCACTATTTTGCACAGTTTTTATGTAGGATAACTTTCAATTTAAGGAAATGGGAACTTTTTGTTGGGACTGCCAAAAAAGGAAATTGGGAACTTCTCCCTGGGATGGAGGTAGTATATATATTTATTGTTCAAGTTATATTAGGAGAACATGTTACTTTTTAATATGTGGCATGTTGAACTGCTTAAATATACTAATAATAATTATTGTTCAATATTGAATTGACATCAATAGATTATTAATTGTATTTCGTAACATTTTAATAATAGATTTAATATGTCGCTAGTAATAACGATTTAGTATATTTCGTTAGTCTGCTAACTTTTTGTATTGGGAGACATGCACGGTTATATAATTTACTGATACCGTACCATTACCGAACCGAAACTTTGGTATACCGAAATGCGGTATACCGACACTACAATAAGGTAAAGGTAAGCAAATTTTGCATACCGAAAGTTTTGGTACAGCAAAGGTATGAGAAAAAATATAAGGTATACCGTACCGAACCACCCCTAGTTAGGATAGTGACGGGTAGTTATGGCAATTCATGTATAATAAGTTGGCCAAAAAAGAAACATAAGGGAGTAAATGGGACATCCCAAAAAGGAGTAAATGGGACATGCTGGTATTCCATTAGCTGGCAAAACATTTCTTAGAAGTTTGTTGACAAAAGATATTTAGATCAAAACAATTAATTAGTAAAACGAAAGATAGTTTTGCTTTCAAATAGACAGATTTATTTGTATGAACCAAATGATACTGAACTGATAGGAGAACGTGAACAAATATTTGTCAGAAAAAATGACATTTAAAAAAAAACAAACATAAATACTAATCACGGTTAGGAATGTCCCCCATTCAACGTTGGTTTACATCAACTTGAAAGACAAATTCACTTCTGAATATCATTTCACAAATAGGCATATTGCATTATTAAAGAAGCAGATACTACTACAGTACTAGGTAGTAGGTACAACAACACAACAAACGCGTCCGCGTTTGTTGTCTTCTCTTGTATAAGCTGCAAAGTCGAGCCATATTATGCCTTTTGTATCTCTTCAGAAAGTGCATATCAAGTTCTAAAACTTGTATTCCCACTTCATGTTCCAAATATTAAAGGATGTGTACCCAACCTTACATATTTGGTAAATGGAGCCTCAACACGAGTTTTAGAATTGGATATGATCCTTCTAAAGCAATAACAAACGCATAAATGGAACACAATACACCCACTCTTTTTACAGCTTTGAAGGAGACTTGTAAAAACCCCAAGGCTCGTCTGATACATATTGCGTAACTTGCTTGATATTCAAGTAGTTTTCTAATCCCCTGCACATGAAAAGACCAAATGATGCTAACTTTGGCTCTTCAACCTGTACATATGTCAGTTCTCTATTCTTCCTAACACTTTATTTAGTTTCCACTTATTTCAAGGGTTGCAAATGATATACTCCAATCAATGCAGTCATACAGTAATAGAATCCCTCTGACTTATGCAATCGGCAGAATTGCAAAGAACATAAATAGCAATAATACAGAGTATAATAGTATGTTTTCCATCCGTCCCAAAATGAAAGTCCCAAACTTTATGAGCAGAAAGTTTGTTAAAATTTCTATACTACCCGTTCTTTTTAACTTCCCTAGGAACAGATGGCAGGTAAATTTGTAGAAATTCAATTAGGAAGAAGGTTCAAATTGGAATTTATGTAAATGTTAATGCCTCAAAGGGAAATTAAACTTTTAATTTGTGACACCTGAAAATAGAAAAACGGGACTTTTTTTTGGGGACAGTAGTATTATATATTTGCAAATATTTGTCACAAGATATCAGTGGTTCATTCTACAAAATATTTTTGCAGTACCTTTTCTGATATCTCATGATTTTTTTTGTAAATATATAAAATAATATAAACGCCTATTGATAGTTAAATGCAGCTAAAGGACTGCAGAGATGATAAATGCAGGTAAAAGGGATAAGATTCACATTACCATTCGCCTAGTTCACGACCAAAACCACTACGCTTCTTTCCTCCCCAAGGGGGTTGCCAAAAACATGGCTGTGAACAGTTCACCCAAACTATGCCTGACTGAAAAGCCTGCATATTTATTTCATCAGAAGAGTATCTATTATGCTTATTTTCACTGACAACACAACTATGGTTTGTTTCCTCTAGCATAAAAAGCTCATACCTTTGTTAGGCGCTCGCATCTGGCAACATCTTTAGACAAAACTGCTGCACCCAATCCGTATCTACGAGGGATAGAAAGTTTATTAGATTCACAACATAGAATGGTGTTGCATTGATCCTATATATATATTCTGAGTGATAAGAGTCTGGTGTGTTGGGGGGGGGGGGAGTTGGACTCACTGGGTGTCATTTGCTAGTTCAATGGCTTCCTCTTCAGTTTTAAATGTCTTGACACAAAGAACAGGTCCAAATACTTCCTCTCTCCAAATTTGCATGGAGGTATTTACATCAGTTATAATGGTTGGTTCAATATAATACCCCCTTTTCAGATGCTGCAATTTAGTTGCGTATCAAAATCTTGTCCAAATCTTACCATCGTAATTACTCTTACCATCCTATACGAAGGTTTTACCTCAGGACGCTGGCCACCATACAAAATGGTTGCACCTTCACTTCTGGCGGTTGAGATGATTTTCGTCACCTTCTCATACTGAATAAAAAATGATTCATCAGTTTTGGTGAGTTGGGAGACAATTAATTACCATAGCAATGTAGCAAACCATGGAATGGGGTAACTTACTCAAATAGCAACTAGTGAACGCCTTGTTTGGTTGAGGGATTTCGGAGGGGAGGAATGGGGAGGAGTAACAAAGAATAAACAAATACTCTCTCCGTCCCTATTTAAAAGTCCCACTTCCTTTTGCACACATATTAAGGAAATGACATTGTTTGACACTATTTGACATTGTTTTGCACTGTTTTGTTTACCAAATAAGGAAAGAGACTTTTTTTAGGGACGGCCTGAAAAGGAAAGTGGGACTTTTAGATAGGGACAGAGTGAGTAGAAATAGAATGAAGATAAAAAAAATAATATCAAAATAATATAGAAAGTAAAAAAAACAAATAAAGATAAATTAGTAACACAAGCAGGGATTTTTCCTTGCTCAAGGAAAAATGTGACAAAATTGTTAAAAAATCGGAAAGTCATGAACGTCACTAACAGTTTATTATGTCACAGCAAGTGATTACCGGTGTTACTGATGCCACCACCGGTATCACTGCCGCCGTGGAAGTGTGGAACATGTCACTGTGACCACCAGTGACTTTTAGAGGCGAAATTAAAAAAAAAAACAGAAAAACAAAAATGGCAAGTTTTTACGGCAGCCAACGGTTTCCGCCAAGATAGGTTGCTGAAGGTGGGAAAGTTTTGTCTTTGAAAAGTGTACATGTATTTTTTGCCATTTTTCAAATAAAAATCAACACCCCCTCCAGTCAGAAATTCAAGAACAAAAAAATCCTGTAATTTTCACATTAGAGAAAATATATATTGTTCATATTATCTTTCAGCCATATCATTGCAATTTCTTTTAAACGTAGATTTCTTACCTGTCCACGACTAACGAGAGGACCCATTTTACATTCATCCTCCAACGGGTCTGATATTTTAATATTTTTGGTCCATGTCACAAGCCTGTCCATAAACTCTGCAGCAATACTTTCCTGCAACATTGTGAACAGAGAGAGGTCAATTAATCCAAGGGTGTGGAGTTGGTTACAATGCCCAAAGACTTTAGACCTTTGAGTCAAGGTATACAGATCTTCGCTCCTTGAAACAACACTTAGCTGTTGTAATGAGAATGAAGAGGCGGTGCCAAGAAAATTTAAAAAGTACTGCGTGTTCCATTTCTTTAGCTGTTTGTAATCAGAACGAAGAGGTGGTGACAAGAAATTTTAAATGGCACTACCCATTCCATTTATACTCATGGCATACATTCAACTATCAACTTTTTTTAACAATTAGTAGTGTTCACTCAGCAGCTGGTACCCGTAACTTCACTATAAAAGCTTCAAAATTGGTTGGAAACTAGTACACAATATCAGTGGAAGATACCTGCAATATGAGACGAGATGTTGCACTGCAAATTTGACCATTTGTCCAAAAGCAACCAAAAAGAGTCCACTCAGCAGCTGATCCAATACAAAAATGCAATGATATTATACATACTAATAAAGAACTTATAGCAGTATCAGTAGAAATGGAATGAAAAACGCCAACCTATATCAAGGTCACCAACATCATCAAATATAACTATAGGGCTTTTGCCACCAAGCTCAAGTGTTACCGGCTGTGATGAAAAGAAAAAGAAAGGATATCAACTAGAACTTAGAAACAGAAGCTGCTATCAAAGTTCACCTAAAACAGTTAGCATACCTTGACAAGTTGGGCAGCCGCAGTCATGATGCTGACCCCTGTGGCATTACTACCTGTAAATGCAATCTAAGCATGGATTGCATGACGATTGACAGCTTCAGTCCCAATATCATGACATTAAAGGCTCTCGAAAGGGACAAAACAATGCTTATTATATACGTAGTACTACTCAAATAAGAAAATGTGAAGCAGCAAACCTTGTCAACATGAGGATGTGATGCCAATGGGGCACCTGCTTCCCGTCCCAACCCTGTTAAAATGTTTAGGGCACCAGGAGGAAGGCCAACCTCTTTACATACTTCACCTAACTCTAAACAGGTACTGAAATTGGAAATTACGATGTTTGAGAAAATAAATAGTGTTTATAAGTTATAACACTAACGAGGCAACAAGAAGAAGAAAAAGAAAAAGGATGCACTCACATTGATGCTAATTCAGATGGCTTTAGTATTGCAGCACATCCAGCAGCCAGTGCAGGGGCAACTTTCCAGGTAGCCATCAACATAGGATAATTCCTTCCATTTGAATTTAAACAAATGAGGCTTACACAAGTATGAAGCAGTATTTTCAATCACAGTATAACACCACATGTAAAACAACAGAGAAACAACAGTCTAGATCTGTTGAAGAAACACACTCAGCCTTCTCTTTCATCAAAGGCAATGAGAAGCAAAGAAAACTCAACCTGATTTGTAAGACTTTTTAAACGTACCATGGAGTAATAAGCCCAACAACACCAAGGGGCTCTCTCAGAACATATGTTTTACATGAATCCAAATGAAGAGGAACAGGAGTTTTCTGTTTCGAATCCAATGCTTCAGCAAGGCCAGCATAGTACTCAAAACATGCTACAACGTCATCCTGATATTTATAAAGACAATCCTTAAGCACACTTAGTACTAAAGTAGTTGTTAAATAAGCTGTCATATAAGTCGTAACTTACAATATCTGCATCTGCTTCAGGCCAAGGTTTACCAGAATCAATGGCTTCAAGAGTCCCTAGTTCAGGCTTCCTCTCCTTTACCTACACCCAAGCATAATACGCAATCTCAAGTAGCAAATAATCATACAGTCATACAACAGTATATATACGAAACTTACTATCAAGTTCCCGTTGACAGTTCAGTAAAATTTACTTTCATTAGGAGGAAAGAGGTAGCAATACATGTGCACTACATGGGAGGGCCATGGCCCCTCCCAACTTTTTTATTTTTAGTAATACTACTATTATAAATGAAATAATCAGTAAAGATTGGATCAAAACTACTCGATAGAAGCTTTTATGCGAGATGCTTTCGGGTAGAATTATTTGATGAATTTTTGTGAACATGTATTTCATAAAGTGTATATTATATCCATCGTATTTCAGCTTACATGCAATTGGAGAGTCAATTAAATAAATTATGGAAAAACACTGAGTTTTTTTTTTTATATTTTTTGGTACAGTGTTTTTCAATAATTTATTTAACTGATTTGTCGATTGAATTTTAAACTGAAATTAGGTGTAAATAATCTACACATCATGAAGAATATTGTAATAAAATTTCACCCAAAAAATCCATCCGGAAGCACATCAAACACGGACATCCGGATGGTGGATCCCGTCATGTAATTCAGAAAGGATCATTCCTCATTAAAAATATGAAAAAATATGTTTTACTCCTTGAATAGATCTTATTTAGTTCTATTAAAAATTATTTGATTAAAGTTTGCCAAAATATGAGTCAAAAAGTCCTATTTTGAGATTAAAACAATGATAATCCTGTTTATAAACTTTTTTGTCCTATTTAGAGATTTTTTTCTTTAGTGTTTGTGTGTTCTTGGCCCCCTTATGACTGAGTTCTGGCTCCTTCCCTGACTAGTAACATAAATGAATAAACGTAATAGTGGTGGAATTTCGAAGATAAAAGTGTAGCAGCTTTCATGGTGGTTAACCTTGGCAGCAATAGCACGTAAATATGTGGCCCGTTGAGCTCCAGTGGTCGAGCCCCACGTGCCGGCCATAGCTCTCCGAGCAGCTTCTACCGCTATATCCACATCTTCCGATGTAGCTCCCGGAATATCCCCTATAAGATTCAACGTTCCACCATCAAGATAATTTCAATTTAGATGAATTTCAGAAAGCATTACACATCGAACTCTGAATTCCACAAAAGTAGCAATATTACGAACCAATGGTCTCCTCGGTAGCGGGATTTATAATCGGCAGGCGATTCCCCTTGACTGGTTCTATCCATTCGCCGTCTATGAACAGCTGTCGTTTTGGAATTCGAATGTCAGGAATCGCCATGGCTCTGAGATCAAATAATGATTGAGGAGTGAAGAGTCGTCTCGGAAAAGGGATGTCAGCCAGTCAGTGAGTGATGATGAAAGAGATAGACCTGCTTTGAGTAACCGCACTAGGCAATAGGCATGTTCCGTCGTTGGGTTTCGTAAGGATTGGGTTTGTCCGTTAGCCGGATGTTTTAACTTGTACTTCGTATTACAAATTGTGTAGAGGGTGAGTTTGGTGCTCGAAATTGCATAAAAGTCGATTAAGTCCTTATATAGAAGATTCTGTCCGGACGTGTCATTTGAGGCGGTTCCTGGTGGAATTTTTTGATAAATTTTTTTGAGCATCTTATTCATTAAGTCTAGTTTACTCATACCAAATTTCAGCTAAAAATTCAATCGTTAAGACATTCAAATGGATTCTTGAAGATAACTGCGCTTTTAATTGCACAATTATCTTCAGGAATTCATTTGAATGTCTTCCCGATTGATTTTTTATCTGAAATTTGATATGAGTGAACTAGACTTAATGAATAAGATGCTTAAAAAGTTTTATAAAAAAATCCACCCGGAACTGCCCCAAATGATGACGGCCGGATAGATCCTCCTATATAAGGACTTATTTGACCCCTTTTATGCAAATTCGAGGACCAAACTGACCATTTACTCATTACAAATTGGGTTGATCTGATCTGGTCTAGTTTATTCTTGTCTGGTTTCTTTCTATTTTTATAACCAGTCAAGTCTTATTTGGTCTGGTCTAGTTTGGTCTGGTCTGAGATAGATTAGTAAAAACATCCTTATGATCACTACAAACATCCAAGTCAGGTGAAAACTGCACAATTTGAGTTAATTTAGATCAATTTGTTTCAAGCTCGATCAATATTAGCATGTTATGATCGGTTTTTTAGTCAATTTCACTTAATTGCAATATTGGACTTTTTGCACTATTCACATATTCTACTTCGACTATATTAATTAAAATTTTAAAAAATATTGTTAAATTCCCCTCAATCTAAAATTTCAAAATATGAGTTTTCGAATTTTTTTATTAATAAGGAATGAAAGATATTAACAGTCAAACTTGTGCATTGACAAACATGAAATGTTTTTTTTATCGAAGGGGCTAACATTAATAAAAAGCAATCAGATATGGGTTGAAATAACAAAAGGACCACATGAAATGTTAACTGTTGCAATTAAAAGGGAACATATGAAGTATAATAAAAGTGAGAAAAGTAAGAAAATTTATGTATATATAATAAAAAGATTTACAAAAAATAGGAAATTTCTGCATCTAATAAAATATTTTCATAAAATTAAAGTATATATGACAATTTAATAGATAAAATGGACTACTGTTTTTTAGTTTATTTGCAACATTTTCAATTTGTTATTTTGGGACTATTAGAAATAGACTAGTCATAGTTCTGATTATTATACATTGATATCTTTTTTTTTGAACTTGGACAAACAGTACTACTATTGGAAGGCGACTCATATAGTTGAGAGACCTATAAATAATCAATAATTTTGATTATTGATTACAGACCGATAATAGTTGAGATTATTGTTTTCAAATTTTCCTATATTTAAAATTTAATAGTGTTAAAAGTTGTCTCACTATATATCAAGTAGTAACTTAAAAACTGTAAAAAACTTCTTTATAAATCTATTGTTTTCACTAGTACTTACGATAATATGAGATAATCAACTCATGATTTTGTTTTAGTAATGATTAAATATGTGTATTTCAAATCAAGCGGACACAAACCATTCCCAAAGCAGCAATAAGAGATCAATTGAAAATATTTAATTTATTCTATGATTTTGTGACTCTTAAGAATAAGGCTCTATCAATACATAGAGCCCGTTTGGAGAACTCTGTTTTCGACTTATCAGGCTTATCAGCCAGCTTTTTCACCAAACACGTAACTTTTACTTTCGCGCGCTGAATTGTGTAATAAGCCGAAAAAGTAAGGTTGGAGTTACTTTTCTGGCTGTATTGGCTGAAGTTGCTGTAGAGGACCATTTTAGCTATTTTTACATATAATTTTTTCTTTAATTTATTAATAAAATATATTTTTTAAAATATTTTTTTCTTAAATCAGCAGAATCAGCCAAAACAGCCACTCCAGCCAGAATATCATAAATTTCAGCAGAATCAGCCAAAACAGCCGATTTTGGTGCTACCAAACGGGCTCATAATAGGCCAAAACGAAAAGTGATTAAACTAGGGGTGTTTGGAACTGATTCTGCTTCTCTTTTAAAGCAGAATCAGAATTAGAATCAGTTTTCAGAAGCTAATCTCCCCATCTTCTAAAAAAACTGATTCTAGGAATAAATTAGAGCACCAGAATCACTTATGGACTTTCACCCAAATACTCCAACTTCTGCTTCTTTGAAGAAGCTGAAGCAGTTTTAAGAATTGGATCCAAACATCCCCTAAGTTGTTATATGAAATACTTCCTCTGTTCAGAAAAGAATGCAACATATTGTCGGGCACAGAGATTCAGAAATAAAGAGAGAACAACATAGCTTCCCAATTTACCCTGCCAGACATGTACTTCGTATAAAACACGAAAGTCAATAAAGTACTATAGTACACAATCTTTTCATTACATCCACATGATAATAAATCTTGTTAGAGTTCATCCACTACTAAATACTCCCTCCGTAACTTAAAAATCTTCTCACTTTCCTTTTTCGTCCGTAACACAAAAATCTTCCCATTTCTAAATCTTCCCATCATACCCTCAATAATTCTTAAAATAATACACTATTACAACTACTTTTTTTGGATTTATCCTACATTCCACCACATTATTCCACTATTTTCCCATTATACCCTCAATAATTCATATCATCTTTCACTATTCTTAATCTACCTACTTTTGAAATGGGAAGATTCTAAAGTTACGGAGGGAGTAATTAGCTACAGTACATCTCTTTTCTCCAAACTACTCTGGCCACCATATCCGGAAACCAAACGTTGGATGATAAACCATCTCCTTCTTCCATGTGAAATCGGGTGACACCTTCTTCACCGAAACATTGGATGACAAAGTGGATGTAAAACTTATCTCTTTTTGCTTGAATTTGTGGCGGAGTGCCGGAGTATCTGGAAAAACTTATCTGTAAATCTTCAAGCTTGAAGCTCGTGGGGGAGTCAGGGGGCGCAAAATCAAATTCATCACCATCCATATCTGCCATTTTATTATGAAGAGGAGAAATAAATAAAGAGGATTGATGGTGATGAAAGAAATACTCAAGCGAGGATGGTGGGCAAATTTTAGATTTCAAGAGGGTGGATGGATAGGGAAGATGGATAGATAAGGAAGAAAGAATCAAAGAATTGAAGAAGGTGGATAGATACGTAAGAAAGGGGAAGTGGAGAAATTATTGGAGGAATTAAATGGAAAAGAGATTGAGAGTATAGAAAAAATTAAATGAGTGGAGGGAGGAATTGGGAAGGTGTGGATAATAATTAAAGGGCATTACTGGAATTTTGTTTAATATTTATTTCTCAAAATAGAGAGGTTGCACTTATTTTGAAACAGCCGAAAAAGAAAAGTGTTGCATTTATTTTAGAACGGAGGAAGTATAACCTATGCGTATTATACTCATATAACTCAAAAGATCCATAAAAATGTCATGTGGTATGAATGTATGATGAATCATACATGTGTTACTCTAATAATAATTTTAATTTTAATGGTTGGATAAAACAAAAAATCTTTATTATTTTTAACATTTAGATATGTAGACGCATTTACGTGCATGTTCACTTAACCCAAATAAACCTTTTGTCATTTTGGTTTAGAATATGAAATGAGTGATTAATTGTAATATACGTAATGTAAGATTTGGAACATTGTGTGAATGACAATGAGATCACGTGCATTATTTATATATTAAGAGGGTTTTCATAAATTTTAAAAAACATTTATTGTTATAAAATTAAACCACATTTGAGAAGTACAAACACCACCGGGGAAACACAGTTCACTCAGGGGCGGATCCAGGAATGAGAGGTGGGGTGGGCTAAGCAATAAAAATTTTTGTTACTGTATACAAAAGGTTTATCTTAGGGCTGATAGTTATTGAACTGTTTTTTTTTCGAACTACTCGAGTTCGATCGTGATTTTGAATTTAATTTAATGACCAAATCTTAACGAGCTTCAATCTCGAACACGGGCTAAATTTTAGTTTAAATAGTTTCTTTTTACAAAAAAAGCGGCCGTTATTTTTTTGAGTTTGAATAGTTATTCAAGCTGAATTCGAGCATAGTCATGTTCAGTTCGATCTGGACTCGAGCATATTGATAACTTATAAATTATAGAAATAAACTATATACTACCTCCGCCCACTTTTATTAAGATTAATTTGGCTTTTGAAGTCAAAGAAGTTAAACTCTGAATGACTATATATTTATCCAATAAAATTGATAATATGAAAATGAAATGGAAATGTTCTTTGTTAAAAAATTTATCATAAAAGTATAAATTTAGTAAGTTTCACATTAATACATGAGTTAAAATGATGGATCAAAGTTTACCATCTTTGACTAAAGAGTCAAAGATGGCTAAAAAACGAGACAGAGGTAGTATATCTAAAATTTAAACGTTTTTAGTGTGATTTATAATTTTATTATTAATCAGTAAAGATTTTAGTATTTATTGATATGTATTAAAATACTTCTATAAAAGTATAAAACTAATAAGTAAAAATAGTCGATGTACATAAATCTAATAAGTATTCCCAATTTTAAAATTGAATTGAGATTTTGAATCCATTCTTACATGCCTAAACAGTAAATACATCGTTCTCTATTCTTTAATTGCATAATAAATAAATCATTTTCTAATCTTTAATTCTATCTTTAATCATTATAAATTTATAATAAATAAAAACTATTTTACTATCTACTGAAAAAATTCAAATAATAATCAAATAGAATTACAAAGTTGGTAGGCTTGGGCTGGGCTATACATTAATTTTGAGGTTGGCTGGAAATTAAACCTATACCTATAATAATAAAAATAAATTGGGCTGGGCTGGAGCCCACCCCTGCCCCAACATAGATCCGCCCATGAGTTCACTAGTTGAGAGTTGAGACAAAAGAGAATGGTGCGGTTATTAAGAAAAGTGAAATTGTGTCGTTTGTTTGTTGGTATATTTAATTGATTGATAAAGTGTGAATACTATAAGAATGAATTATAACCACCCAAATATTACCAAATGAGATATCAGATAAACTTAGTAGGACGGACGAAAAGGTAAAACGAGACAAGTGTAGGGGATGGAGGGAGTATCAAAATTTCCCCATAGCAAAAGTTCTATCATACACATCGGTGATCACCTGTAACATAGCCACTTATCACATTCGTTTGATACATACAAACATATATGTGTAGAATGTCGATCAAATGAGAACAACTCATAAGAAGTGAGAATTAATCATAACTGTTGTTAAAGAGGTGACTTCGCTGGAGTTCCGGGATCTCTGGGATATTTCTTTGGAGTTGGACCACCTTTCACACAAACGATGGCAGTTCTCTGCCCATACTTACTGTGTGAATCAACTGGATTTCGAAAAAGAAGATTAAAAAATTGTGTTACGATTAGCATAAAGACAATAGAGGCGGGTGAGAAACTAAACTGTGATTGATATGGTTAAACTCGAGTAAGACATGAAACATTCAAAATTCATTGGAACATTATTTCTTGGAAGTTTGAAACATTATCAGATATGAAAGATGGGGTATACACCTATCCACATCAGGTACAAACAGATCTCAAACCTACTAAATCAGCGTACCATAGCAAGTTTGCAATAGAGTTGCACCCATCAAATGTATTGCTGTATCTGCTCTTCTCACTTCCTCCTGTTGGACGCGTTCAAAAGGGAAACTGGATAGTTCTCATTCACTGAGGTTCTACTACTCAAGTCAACTATAATCGACAACTACAAACTAGTTGATGATGGTATGTGTTACTATATGTATATATTCATTACATTATTATGTGTTAAATCTGTTGCAAGCCATGAAACTGTAGTTTGCAGTTTAGTGGAAAAGCAAAAAAGGATTATTTATATACTTCCTCTGTACCTAATAGGCTTGTCATTGAGGCAGTTTACTATTCTTGTGGTCAACATAATTTCCTTTTATTCTTTGATTTTGTGTACTTTGTCATATTCAAATATGGGTTTTTCCCTTCAGTAAAGCTTTAGAAAAGTTTCTAAGAATGTAAAAATTGACTATTAATACTAATTTGAATGTTATTATGGGAGAGTTTATTTTAAGGAAAACTCCCTGAATAGGAATTAAAAACAACATGGTTTCCCTAAATAGGAGCAAAGGTAATACTATAGTATGATTTTTCCTGAATAGAAGTGCTGTCATCTTGAAACTATTCTGTCATATTATGACATCAATAATGTCATACTAATGCCTTACAATGCCAATATATGGCATTATGATTTTAGGATGACATTGTTTTATTTACTCCTTTTTTTAATCTATATTGCAGTATGTTGCCATATAGGTAAAAAGGAACAAGCATTTCTTCTGGAAATGTTGGGTAAGAGATGAGGAGTCTTTCATCCTTTTACCATGAGTCAGCAACACTAACTAAACTAGTCACTAAAGCACTTTGAGACTCATGTAACAGGAAGCACATTCTAGAAAGAAAAACAGGTTCTGTTTGTTTCAACTATCGAAAGAAGGATAGTAGAGGAACCTGAGGATCATGACCCTTTGCGGCAACAAACAAGCCACCAACTCGAACAAGAGGAATACAATATTCAGCTGAACAATCAATGATATGTAAACTATATATAGATGTATACAAAATTAATACTCCCTCCGTCCCAAAAATAACTTCACAGTCACTATTCATTGGTCAACTTGAATCACTCCTAATCTTTTAGTTTATATATCAAATTTTTATCAAACTTAAATTTTCTTTCGGGCTTTGTAGCGGTTTTAATGTAATTTCTGAATATGTAAATTTTATTTACTAAAAATAATCCGAGTGTGAACAGGGATCGAGTTGCTTTATCGTCATCAGTCAAGCATCGTAAACCGAACGAGAAGTTAATTTTGGGACAAAGGTAGTATAAGAATAAAGATGATAGAGTATACTTACCTAAAATTCTCATTTCTGCAACAGCTCTGGCTACTGCAACATCAAATGACTCTCTGAAGTTCTGGTTTTGCCCTAAATTCTGCCCCACGTGACATTCCAAATTTACATTGTGTGTAGAAGGGAAAAATTGTCTGTTCAAGCAAGCGTACGTTTCACTACAAATTTGGAATCAAGAAGAATCTGGTACTAAGTGGTAATACCAAAATAGCTCAGTATTCGGATCACTCAAAAGTAATAAACAGTTACACTGTTGATTTGATCTTTTGAATATTATCCAGAGGCTAAAATAGAGTTAATTTGGAGTATCACTGGATTGAACTTATTTAATGCACATTATGGCTCACAGATATGCACATTCATGGTTAAATAATGCAAAGTTTAAATGTGCACAATTGTGTGTAAATAATGCGCAGTTCAAATGCATGTTTTCTAATTTATGGCATTGCACATTTTTGTTTCAATTCTCCATAATCATTCTCATGTCAGTTCTAAGATCTTTTTTTGTCCCTTCTTAGATCTTGGGAATAACCGAATAAGGTTTGGATATTGTTGTTGTTGTGGCGGAGCCACCTTAGATCAAAGGTGTTCAAATGAACACCTAAAAAAATATTGAAAAACATGTAAATATATATATGTGTAATTGTGTAAATTTAGTTTAATTATTTATTTATTTTTCGAGTTAAAATTATATAAAAAATGAACACCCACAACCTAAATCATAAATCCGCCACTGTATATATAAACCCATCACCGGCCACATGAGTGCATCTCCAATACAAAAATGTTAACGGTGCATACATGGCATGAGAGAGATAGACACATAAAAAATAATACGTAGAAATCTCTCTTCTTATTTGAACAGTCTTATATGTTTTTGATAAGTTTTTTTCACAATGTCAAGCATAATGTCTAGATGTAGACATTGTTGTTGACATTGTCCAGAGACACTTACCAAAAATACATAAAATCGTGGAAATAAAGAGAGATAAATGTTATGAATTTATTCTTTTGTGTCTCTCTCATGCTACATGTGCAATATGCACATTGTAACATTGGAGATGCTCTTAACATACCCATTACCTCATTGAACATACCAAAATGCCTTTTTAAAAGTACCCCCTTCACACCCCTTAGGATGATCCTTCATCCATTCCCACCCCAAGGGCGTTTTCGCAATCTTATAGGGTTCTGGAACGTTTTTGCATGTGTGTGTAATATGACTTGCTACTTGCTAGTATGAGATATGGTAGTTAATCACAAAGAAATACCTCAGCCCTTTCTCTGATAACTTCCACATTTGACAGATTATTCTTCTCAGCTACATGCTCCAAAAATTGACAACGCTTATTCATAGATTCCAAAAGTGTCACTCTCCAATCTATAAAATACACCAGAGCTTTTCTGTTTTAGTACAAAACAAAAAACTATACTTATTGGATGGGGTTATAATGTTGGGCAAGTTATATAAAGGATGAGTGTGAACTAACATAAGATAAGGAACATGGGGAAAAAAGTATCTACAAAGCTGCCTTGCGTAGTCACATTCTTAAGACAGGGCACTAAGGACTTCAAAACATTATTAATTGGATGAGCTATGCTAGGTGTACACAAAAATGTGTACACCTTTCTACAGAGTTGTCCATGGACAGACAATTGTGTGTGTGAGACAGACGAGTGTACGAAAAGTGTACACCAAATTGTGTACACCAAACATTTTTCTAATTGGATACTTTTCTCTCTTGTTCATTACTTGTTTACTATAGTTTTAAATTCAAACCTGAATATGATCATTCACAGCACAATGCACATTATCTGGAAGGAAAGCAAACAAATATAAAGGCGCAGAATTCGGCTTGCACTGACACAGAGCATGAGATATCATCAATTATTACCAGGGCAAGCAATGGCTAATACAAGTCCAGGGAGACCCGCTCCACTCCCCACATCGACAACCCTAAGATTCTCACAAGAAACACCGCAGCGAGACATGTAGGAATTTTGAATCGGGTCAATCATGGCAAGCGAGTCCTCGACGTGTCTTTCCATGATCTCGCTTTCTTCTCTCTCGGCCGTAAGATTCATTTTCTGCGAACAATAACAATGATTTTTTAGATGTGAGACACACGGGATTTATGTAATCCTCATAACATAGAAACGTATAGAATGGTACCTGGTTCCATTGTAGAAGAGAAGCGATGTAGGAATTCAGTTGTTTCTTCTGGCAAGAAGTGAGAAATCGGAAATTGGAAGTATTGCCAGTTGTTGAGGTGGAGGCGGCGGTGACTATGGACTTTCTGTTGGGTTTAAGGATTAAAGTTGGCCGAGACAACAAGTGTTTGTACAAAGTCCCGACAGAAATTGGGTGCAACGGAGCGAAATTATGGATTCTGCAGCTCAGCATTTCATTCGCGAGCCGAATATAACTCAATAATGTCGAACGCCGGCCAGGTTGATGGAGTTAACAGTTAGCACAATCGTCTTCTTTGTTTGGTTCTTCCAACTTCCAAGTGGACTGTAAAAAAGACGCACCGCTGCATTGACGACAAACTTTCACACAAATCGCCGGTTTAGGACCATAGGCAGCTTTCCAAATCCATGTTTTAGATCAAATCTTTACTCACTATTTGTATTTATATTTTTTTAATTCCAAGTGATCCTAATCTTGTCTAATTAATTGTGCATAAAAATCACTCCTAATTAATCATGCATGTTCTCAAGTTTAATTTATAATTCCTAGTATAAGTAATTTAGTATTTGATGCGAGATAAAAGATTGATTGAGTGATAATTTAAGTTAGTTCCACAGCTAGGGATATGTTGATGTTGAGGAATACCTCTCAAATTCACCTCTTTAGTTACTTTAACCAAATACATGTTGCACATGTATATCATAATTGTGAGATGTGACGTACTTGATCACTCCAAGTTTTCTGAGTTAGAAAGATATTACATTTAGTTTATATTCATTTCCAAACAATGTTATGCGAGTATATGCTTGGTAACATTGACAGATGTCTAATTAGGAATATCGACTTAATCGTTCAACCATTAAGTCATACTCCGATCCATTTGTTTCTTTTTATTAGCTAAATATGATTTTTCAAGTCAATGATATTCAACTTTAACCGATTATATACACACACCATTGATGGGTCTATCATAGCGTAGCCCATGTTGTTTGCCTTGGTCTTGAGAACCAACCATGTCCAATTCAACTTAATTGTTCATATAGAAGAATATTTCTAGCAGCCCATGAAGCTTGAGGGCGAGACAGCAACAAGAATACTACACTATTGTAGAGCCATTACGCATATTATTGGGTCTTGGATCATATAGTGTGGTTTGTACATTGTATTGAAACTAGCACTAATATCAACTTGAGACGACCTACATTTTGATCTCCTATGGTTTTAACTTTTAATCATCCTTAGTCCTCCCTCGAAATTTATATTTGCAAATGAGATACTCTAAATATACTACGTATATACATAGGAGAAACATTTTGAAGGATAAAAAAATGTATATACATCATAAAACAATGGTTATTCTAAGAAAACATAAAATAACCATGATATGCTTCGTTTAGAGTTCAGTAAAGTCTAACAATAAAATCTCTCTAATCTACCTCAAATGAATCATCAACAGATTGGACCAAATAGGGAAAAGGAGGACGGCAATGAGAGCAAGGACGAGCACGATGGCAATGCATGTGCATTTTCTAGAGCTCTTCTGATACTCCCGAGCCTCTTGGAGCTGCTCCGTTCCACGCTTTACGAACGAGCTAGCATGCGCCACGTGGCTCTCTATCGAATTCAATTGCTGCCCTTGTGCTTCCACCAGCGCCGCCATGTCTAGGAAAATCTGGTGGAGCTCAATCAGGTTCCTCTCTATTTCCTTCACCGCGTCGTGCCTCTCTTGAATCTCCGATATGGTGTCAAGAATCTGGCCACGCCCTTGCTCTTGGATCGCCTTCTGCAAGAATGACTCGCTCTCCCCGCTCGATATCAAGTTTTCGATCAACTCCTCGTCTGGCTGCTCCCCCGTGACGGTGTAGTACCGCCTCGCCACCGTCTCCTTGTACTCCGAGTTCATCCTACTCCTAAGCGCTTGGAAGTCATCCATCATTGTTTTCAACTTTTTCCCCAGCCCGCTCACAACCGAGGTTCTGGTGCGGTCTGTAGAGGATCCCGGGCCACAACCCGGGACACGTCTAGAGGCCGCATTTGACCGTTCAAAGGCCTCGAGTTTTCCTTTGATGACTTTGACCTGTTTCAACACTTGGGACACGTCACCGTCCATTCTAGACCTTAAATCTTTCATGGTTTTGGCATTGTGTGCGGTCTTGCATTCCTCGTTTGCCTCTTGCAGCTTCTTGTGAAGGGCTTCCACAGCCTTCATGTCCAGCTTCACGTTCTCCACGTCATCGAAGAACTTGTCGAGATCCACCGTGTCCTTGGCCCCACCTTCCAAGTCATCCATTTCTACCTGTTTTTTAAGGTCTTGGTAACGTTTAAAGGAATTAGAGAATAAGTCATTCATCTTGCCGGACTTCTTTTTTCTCTAGATTTCTTTTTTTCTTTTTTCTTTTTCTTGGTGGATGGAAAGAAGAAGGTATAGCTTTGTTTGGGTCGCCTTCTCTCTTCTTCTTTCCGGGGATAATGATCATTAACCTACGGGCCAGCCACAAAGGAGGAATGATGGAGGAAGAAGAGAAATGAAGTAATATGAAATTGTTCATTTAAAACTAGGTGGATTAGTTTGTTCCATGAAGCTTTGATTTGGAAACGCAAATATGAGAGAGTGGTGGGCGGTGAGTGAAGAAGGTCAACCAAACCAAATTGGAGGTTAATCGTGAAAAGTGGAGTAGGCCGGAAAATTCAACCTTTAATTACTTACAAAGTTACAATATTGTACGGAGTATTTTAATGCCAAAGTTTTTTTTGAAGGGAGATTTTATTTATTTTATGCTTTTGGTTTTAATATATAGTACACCTCTCATCTAAAATAACTTTTTTTACATGTACCTAATTTATGTTTCTATTACCCCGTAATAACTAATTTTGTATAATAAGATAAGAAAAAATGACACGGATAATATATATGAGTTTGAGAAGGACAAATATATGGCCAGGTTCTCATCTGGACAAATTAATAAAGAGATTAAAATTTGATGTATAGATAAAATATAAATAGATAAAATAATTATGGCCACGGATTTCTTGTGGCATGAAATGCCCTGAATATAAATAGATAAAATAATTAACACCGTAACTCGTTGCGTAACGCTGAAATCGGCAAAATCAGTTGATTATGTTGAAATTTATCAAGTTGTGCCTGAAGTGGCTGTATTGGCTGATTCTGCCAATTTATGAAAAAAAATATTTTTAAAATATATATTATTAAGAAAATAAAGAAAAAATTACTTTTTCTTGTTTAAGAAAATTACTCTATTCTCTGGTAGTCTCACAGATCTACTTGTGGTGGCATCGGGGTGGTGGAGAGTGTTGCCTTGGCAGGGACGAGTTCCGTTACTGGCGTGGAGGAGAGTTCCGCTGGTCGTTGCACTGTGTGTTTCACATTGTTCTTTTCACCAATGTCACTGTTGAAACCTTCTTTGGGGAGGATCTAAACTTGATTTATGATTTGAGCTCTCAGTAAAAGCACCAAGTGATGGCTTCGCCTAACCGAGGGTGGATAGAAACCTAGTGAGATTCAAGAAATCGCTAAGTATAATCGAGTAAGAAGTTTGATAGAGTAACAGTAAGCTAGAAAAGGCTAAAGGGTCAAATAGACCCCTGTACCCGCTCAGAATGCTCAATTCGCACCCTGAACTCTAAAAAGCTCCAATTCACCCCCTGAACTCAACAAAAAGTTCAAATTTCATTTTTTGCAGGTAAACGTCCGGTCATTGCCATGTCACCCAGTCAGATGCCAACTGTGCATCCCACGTGGCAAATTAAGGGGTCAAATAGGCCCCTGAACCCAACGAAGTTGTTCAATTTGCCCCCTCAACTGTTAATATTGTAAGAATTGCAAAAAAAAAATTAAAAAATAGAAAATACAAATACTCCGTATAAAATAAGATACAAGTTGAAAGTATAAAATATAGACATCCTATTAAATAATATAATAAGGATTTATTTATATTCACGGTAAAAGCATATAAAATAAACCAAAATAAATTCATTAAAACTATTTTGATCTCTTAAATCTATTTTCTAAAAATAAACAATATATACATGTTTTTACAAATTAAAATTAAATATGTTTTTTTGTGTATTATATGTAATAATCGGTAATATAAAACATATTTTATGTTTTCTATTTTACAATTTATATTATGCTTATATTTTAGAGTTGTATTTTTCATTTGATATTGTTTAATATTTTTAATATGTTTTTGTTAAGTCACCTAAATTTTGATGTTTAATGTAACAGTTTTGATGATGCCAACCGTTTTTATTATTCCTGTATTAGACTAGTATACTAGTTATGTTCTGCTATGTTTACTTGTAATGTGCTCCATATTTAGTGGTAAAGTACTCATAAAAAGCAAAGAGTACTAAAAAGAGAAGTTAAACGTACCATAAAACAAGAAGAAAAAGACAAAAAAGAAAAGGTATGAAAAGAGTTAACTGGCATACATTGTTAGGAAGCCTACTAGAAAACCCAGGTTTCGGCAGTCAGCTCCCAACTTGGCAGCCAACTGAAAATCTGGAAATCCAGTCAAGGCATCCGAAATCCAATTCTCTCTTCTCTTGGCACAAAACACTTAAACAAAAGACCAACTTGCAGTCAAAATACATTTTGATAAAAAGTAAATGGGAAAACTGTCAAATAGGTCCTCGAACTTTCATAAAAGGGTCAATTAAGTCCTTCTATAGGAGGTTTTGTCCAGCCGTCACGATTTGGGGCAGTTCCCGGTGGAATTTTTTGATGAAAATTTTTGGGCATCTTATTCACCAAGTCTAGTTTAGTCACAAAAAATTTCAGCTAAAAATTCAATCGGGAACACATTCAAATTAATTCTTGAAGATAACTGCGCATTTTTGTGTTCTCGAATTAATTTGAATGCGCTCCCGATTAATTTTTTAGCTGAAATTTGGTACGAGTAAACTAGACTTGATGAATAAGATGTTCAAAACATTTCATCAAAAAATTCCACCGGGAACCGCCCCAAATCGCGATGACCGGACACAGTCTCCTATAGAAGGACTTAATTGATTTTTTATGAAAGTTCGAGAACCTATTTGACGGTTTTCCCAAAGTAAATTTATAAGAGATTTTAATCACATTATAAATTTCTTATAAATTTATTTTACAAAAGCAAGTGTTCGTTCATTGTAAGGAAGCATTGAAATATCTCTCAGCTTTATACTAAGTTTCTACGCGTGAAAATAAAGATAAAATATCTTTTATCTTGCATTGAAATGTGTAAACAAGTTGAGCTGAAGATTGTTGATCCGTGTCACTACGTGACAAAGACAAACCATGCTCCCTCAGTCAAGTGGAACAAAACAAGTAGATCAAGCTACGGTCAAGATTCATTTCCTCAGCCAACGGTGGAGATGCAATGATCAAGTCTACAAATACAGAAGGAGTGTGGGATTACCAAGTGTGGTAAAACGAGAGGAGCCAAGTGGATAGAAGGAAATCATACTCTACACGAAGAAATCCAGCCAGCTGATTTGCCTTCTACACTTCGGCTGCCACCCCACTCGTCTATTGCTCTTAGACTAGCTACAATTCATACAAATCTATAGAGCTTAGATTAGTTGGTAGTTTAGCAATACACCCATGTATTCTAGACGAGTGTTAGACATTGTGATTGGTGATCAAATCCAGAAGGTGAAAAAGGGCAAGGACATGAGTAGCTCTTGGCTAGTCAATGCCATTAGTGAAAAATCTTGGGAAGACTGAGTAGCTGGGAACAGTGTTCAAGTTCCTTGTGAAAAACCCCACAACCTACGCCTGGGCCAAGAGTAGGTTGGGGCACTAAATGTAATGGGATATTCATTTAGTGGAAATCCATCTGAAATAGGTTGGGATTAGATGTAGGAGGATTACACCACCTCTGAACCAGGATACATCGTGTGTCAGCTTTTACATTCTTCTCTTAACTAATATTCAGTACTCGCTCACCTTCACAACTACACAGCAAAACAGCTTGCTCACTAAAACTGTCCAGTGAACTTTCCCAGTTCACTGTGAGTCATCTCATTGTTATCTGTTCTTCAAAGTGACCTATTTCCACTGGTCTAATTCATTCATACACTTGTGTTAGACTAGATCTAAAGTCAGTTACATTGTTAGAGTAAAGTTCATTGCTATACTTTAACTAAACAAATAGAAAGACTATTTCGGCAGCCTGCTCTTAAGGATTGGCAGTCAGCTCCCAAAGCTATCTGGCATCCCTCTTCTTCAGGTTTCGGCAGCCTGCTCCTAAAGTCATCTGTTTCTGGCAAACACATTTGTACAATGTCTAACCCATCTCTCTCAGAACTAAAAGGGTCATAACCTTTGTTTCTATATAGTGTCATCCTCTTGAGGTCAAGACTTTCGTTGCATGTTTCAATATCTCTCAAAAGATGTTGGAACGTATCCAGTTAGAGAAAAAGAGGTTGAAAACCAAAAAGATTTAAAAATCTATTCACCCCCCTCTAGACTTTTACCTCACTAGAAACTCGGTTGGTATCAAGGGCACTCATCAATTTTAGATTTATATGTAAAATTACACACACATGCATATATGTATATATACTTTGTATTATTTTATTCTAGAATCATATACTTACTTCATAGTAATTATATACACCGCAAAAAATTATACTATATAAAAAGTATAATATGAAAATAGCTATTACATTTTTATATTATGCATTTAGAAATAATTTATTTTCGTTATATTTTTATATATTAATTTACCACAAATTATAAATAGTTTTTAATTATTTTATAAATAGACATCTATATTTAATATTTTGAACTTGTATATTATTTTATATTTTTATCTTCTATTTTTTAATTTCTTATTTTTTTAATAGCAATTTTGACTTTTTTTAACGTTTGAGGGGGTAAACTGAACAACTCTGTCGGGTTCAAGGGCCTATTTGACCCCTTAAATTGCCACGTGGGATGCACGGTTGGCATCTGACTGGGTGTCGTGGCAGTGACCGGACATTTACCTGCAAAAAATGAGATTTGACCTTTTTGTCGAGTTCAGGGGGTGAATTGGAGCTTTTTTTTAGTTCAGGGTGCAAATTGAGAATTCCGAACGTGTACATGGGCCTATTTGACCCTTTAGCCGCTAGAAAATAGAGAATGTGATCCCTTCCCACAAGTAAAAAGGTGACATTTATAGCGTAAAAAAAATATGTTGACAACAAGCCAAATAAGCAATTCACCGATCTAATGACAGGTGTATGGTAAAGCTTAATTGGTGAGAGAATAATCAATATAGTTGGCTGATTGGTACTGTTGTACCTGAATTTGTTCTCTATGTACCAGAATGCATAGATAAGCCACATGTGTAAGTCTGAAATCTTCCTTGTATAACTGTTTGAGTGATGTCAGCCCTAGGACAATTGTCATGTGGTGACGTAATCCTGAATAATTATGGAATCCAAGTGTTGAAATCTCTAAGTCCACAATCTCCGTATGAAGCCCCAAGCTCGGTAGTAGAGGTAAAACTCGGGTGTAGTGTGTTCAGCTAAGA